CTTTGGGTTTGTGAAAACATATGTTTTAGATGTACGAATTGTATAAACAGCAGCATATTTATGTCAGATTGACTGTGACAGATGTTTTTGCATAATGAAAATGCCCACTCTCTCCCTGTCTGCTGAGGCAAGCAGATCTTCGTTCCACTTTCAGCCTGCGAGTCCTTCCGTTCCATCTATCTCCCAAAGAGGCAGCTTCTGCCTCTCTCCCTTCCCCACTTCTCCCCTTCCCCCTCTATTTCTCTTTTTTCCTCTCTCTCCCTCCCCCCTCTGTCTTTTGGCCCTCTCTCTGCTCCTCTCCTTTCTCCCTTCCCCCCTTTGCCCTCCATAACCCTCTAAATAAATATCCACTCTCTCTCTTCATGGCATGCCTAATAGTCTCTGTCTCACAGGCCACATGGCTCTCTGCCTGGGACCTGCTGGGCCCTCATGGCCCATGGGCCACTAGGGGAACTGTAGCATTTTACCACGGCAGCTCCTTGTGGCCCGCTGCCCCTGCAGCCACTCAGAGAATGGCACTGTTTTATTTTTACCATAATGCCTGCCCTTTGGAAATCTGACACACTATCTTACTGGCTTGTTTTGAAGATTCGACTGATCTATTTAACCAGTCACTACAGTAGCTAGTGTGTAACCATGTGCTCCATGGACATTAGAACTTCCACGGTGAAGCAGTTTGCCTTTCCAGCCAAGGGCTGTGTGAGCAAAACTGAAGCTTAAATGAAGCCAAGCACAGCCGCCAGGCTCTTCTGTAAAGAAATTTGTTGAAACCGAACTCGAGGCAGGCAAGGTTCTTTGTGAGAGTCAAGGTCAGAAGCCCCACCCCTCTTCCTTTTAAAGAATCTGGAAGAAGGAGAAGGTCTCTGCTTCACATTTGATGTCGAAAGGAGAAAAAACAGGAAGGGGAAACCAGTTGAAAACAGACTTTCCCCAAGTATCTCAGCACACACTGACTTTCTCTGCAAAGCCCTCCATGTCCTCTGTTGCTCAACCTACTGAGGCTTGTGATGAAAGGCGCCCTCAAGGTTGGTACATAGTTAGGGTTATGAGATTAATGTCTGCAAATGTTGTGTATTATGCAAAGCAATGAGAAGAATCTTGGTAGCTGCCTCCAAAGAGAAGCTTTGGAACACAAAAAGGAGGCATGCTAGATGAACATATAACTTGAGAAAATAACTCTTGAATTTCTTTTCTGTTTTTGTTTTTTGAGACAGGGCTTCTCTGTGTAGCTTTGGAGACTGTCCTGGAACTCGCTCTGTAGATCAGGCTGGCCTCAAACTCACAGAAGAGATCCATCCACTTACCTCTGCATCCCATGTACTGGGTTTAAATGCACGTGCCACCACTGCCCAGTAATAACTCTTGAATTTCTAAGGGGCCTCTTATGTGTACTTGACAAACCTAGAACCACCTGGGGAGAGACTTCCATACTTCGGTCAACATTGTGTTGGCCTACGGGCATGTCTGTGGGGCTTTGTCTTAGTTAAGCGAATTGATTGTGGGAAGATCCAGCCCGCTGTGGGCAGCACCATTCCCTAGGCTCTGCCCAGTGAACTGTGTAAGAGTGGAGAAATGGAACTGAGCAAGCAAGCGTGTGTGTGTGTGTGTGTGTGTGTGTGTGTGTGTGTGTGTGTGTGTGCCGGCATTCACCTCTCTCTGCTCTTGGCTGTGGATGTGCTGTGACCAGCTGTTTGAAGAAGTTTCCATGTCCTTGAGTTCTCTGCTGTGATAGATTCCAACCTGGAATTGTGGGTTAAGTAAACCCTTTCTCCTCTAAGTTGCATTTTGGTCAGGGGATATTTTTATCACAGCCACAGAAATGAAACTAGAAAAAGCCCAAATCTTTTGGTTGCTCCATTGCCTTGAATCCCACGGTCTTGGTCGTTTTTCCCTACTTCTGTTTTAGTGTCCTGGACCAGCCTTGACAAAAATAACTTTTGCCAGGGTCAAGGCGTGGGTATCTAGAAAATATTAGTAAAGAATATGAAGATGCGGAAGAAAATAATAAAATGGAGAAGCACAGGAGTGTTTCGGGAGGGGGTTCTAGTGAGTACTGACATTCCCCTGTGTTTAATTTACAATTGCTTTAAATACCCCTGACCCCAAAAGGTAGGAGTAAGAGAAAAGACTGCTTTAACAAGACACTAGGAAGTGAACGAACAGACCAGTTGAAGTTCAGGGGCTAGTCCTTGGTTAAACAGTCTGTTGCTAGAATAAAGTAAATCACGCTCACACCCTAGACCAAAACCTCCTGCAGGCAAACTGCTCCCTGGGTGGAATCCAAAGTTATCTCCATAATAGAATTGGGGTTTAGTTGGCTCTTTAGACTCTTTAGGTAGGAACTGGTCTATTTCCCTATTCCTGGAGCACAGGGTCTGGCAATCAGCCACACCTGTTGACAATTAGAGCAGAACTCTCTGACTGACTTCTAGGCGGGAACTTTGAGGTAGAAGCACAAAAATCTTAGAGGGTTCCAACTCTCTGCCCTCTGGACAATGTGGAAATAGGCTCATATTCAGTCCTCCACAGTATAGCACCTGTGACTTAGATGGAGGTTGCTTCTTCCACGAACGGTGAGTTTTTAAGGGACTTAAAGAATAAAGTATTGCTTGTTTTTTCCCCTTGCTTCCTGTTTGACATCATAGAACACACAATGAAATGTTACATTTAAGTGTAACACACATACAATACTGTAGTTTGGATGTCGTTCCTAGGGTGGCGCTACTGAGATACTGAGAGAGGGTGCAAAATACCTGCTTAGTGGCAGGTCTTCAGGTCACTGGACATTAGGGGTGGACTTCGCCCCAGTCTTTCTCACCCTCCACTTCCTGGCTTGAGATGTGGCCACTTTCTCCTATGCATCTGCTACCATTACTGCTTGGCACCCTGCATCTGCTACCATCACCCTCCGTAGAGGCCTAGTTAACCCTCCAAAGCCATGGGCTAAGCAAACAACTTCCCTTTGTTAAACTGGTAGCTGTAAGTATTTCATTTCGGTGACTCAAAATTAACGAATGAAAACAGATAGAAAATGCTTGCTCTCCGTAACCGCAAGGACCTTGCAAGAGGACAGGGTTCTGCTGCAGTGAAAGGCCCTTTTGTCCAGCTGGGCACCCAGAAAGGTCCAGGGCTGTCTTCAGAGTGAGCTGAGGAACCGCAGCGTCGAGAGAACACTGACTTAGGCATGGTGTGTGTGTGTGTGTGTGTGTGTGTGTGTGTGTAAGTCAATGGGAGGAAGGGAGAGCAAGGGTCCACTGACTTAGGCATGGTGTGTGCGTGTATGTGTGTGTGTGTGTGTGTGTGATAGGCTCTGTATTGTCCACAATAGCTCTGAGGTATACCTGTGTGACTCTTGTGTGTGAGGAAGGGTCATAAACGGGGGACAGTATAAAAGTACACCCTGTGTGAGGATGGACATTCAATGGGGGACACTATAAAGTATACAAATGGAGCAGATACGGGCACAGGCACAAGGATTCAGAAACAAGTGCAGAAGTTCTCAACAATGAGCTAATCCTTGAAGGGTAGGCCAGCTACTCAAATGCCTATTTTCTTTCAATATGTAGTTCTTTATATATACAATTTTATATAAATTACTTATCTAATTTCTTTTCTTATTTGGAAAGTTGCGATGGAAGGAGACTTTGGCTCTAAAATCATAGAGACAGGTCCAATCTTGGCTCCCCTTCGTGTATCAGCCCTGTGACTTTGGGCAAGTTACTTAAGTTCTCTGAGCTTCCTCATCATCACGGGTAAATCAGAGATAACAGAAGAAACCATCTTAAAGAGCAAAAGAGAAATGCTTAACAAATGCGACCCATTTCTTTTTAAGTTTATTGACCACAACTTAGAAAATACCGAGAAAAGCAGAAGTAGAACCCCAACAGCTTTACCACACAAACGAAACCGCAGCAGACTTTTGAAGTTATCTTCCCAGTTCCCAGCCAAGGCTTGGTTTGCTTCCCTCTCTCTGTATTGTCTGGCATTCTGGATATAAAATTCAAGTCTAACGTTTCATTGCATTTATCTACGTACTTGTTTACTGTGTGTGGGTGGGTGTGGGGGGATTTGGGAACACACATGCCAGGGTGAGCATGTGGCGGTCAGAGGACAACTGTCAGAAGCTGTCACTTCTCTTTTCCCACCATGCCAGCCCTGGGGATGGAATTCAGATTGCCAGGGTAGTGGTCTGTCCTGTCCCTTTAAGAGACAAGCCCGCCCCTTCCACCTCCCCAACCCCTGTCCACTGAGCAAGCCTACTTCCTTCTGCTTGCAGCCCAAGTCTCTTCCTTTCCATCTCTCCTCCAAAGAGGTAGCTGCTGCTGTGGCCTCTCTCTCTCTCTCTCTCTCTCTCTCTCTCTCTCTCTTTCCTCATCCCCCTTCCCCCCCCTCTCCTTCCCTTCTATAACGCACTAAATAAATATTCAACCTCACTCTGCAATCATGCCTATCCATCTCAGTCTCTCACCCACCAAGTGGCCCTCCGTGGTTTTAAGACCGGCCGCCCACTGCCACCACTCTGGGACCTGCAGCGTTTTTACTTAAACCATAACACCCAGGCTTGGTGGCAAGCGCCATTATCTCCTGAGCCACCTTACGGGCCCTTGAGTTGAAGTTTTTGGTTGGGTAACATAGGCGGGTTTCTGTCTTATGGCCACTTCACAGTATATTAAATTGGGTTGCTGTGTTGAAGTCACTCAGACATTCCTGCCTGCTAGACATTTGTCTAGACTCTAGTTGTCTGTCCCTGTTCTGGACAGTTAAACAATTAGCAGGTCTATACACAATCCCTTTAGTATTTATTTTTCTTTAGAAACAGCTTCCAGAAATGAAACCATAGATGTGGTCCGTATGAAGAGTGCCAGTGGTCCCCGCCTGTCACCAAAAATAATTCAGAAGACAGCTGAAGCAGCCTCCATGCTCAGATTCCGCTCTTCCCTCTCCCGCCCTCATTCTTGCTTCTTTTCCAAAAGGAGGGGTTGAGCCGAGGCCTGGGCATTCCTGGGTCCTTTCTGCCAGTAGGCGGAGTCACAGGGCATGAAAAAGCACTGTCTTCCTTCCCAGCTCTCGAAGGCAGCGCGAGGGATGAGCTAGCTGGGAGCACAGACATCTGCAGGAAGCCTGGGTATTTCTTTTTCTCTTTCTTCTCCCATGTGGCAGGCAGGCGGGCGGGCGGGTGGGTGGGCTTCCTCTTGCCTCTGCCTGAGCTCCAGGATGGAGTCCGAGGCAAGTGTGTTTTCTGTGGAGCTAACAGGGCACCAGACAGTGCTGAGCAGGGAAGGCTGCCCTGGGTGCCTAACTGCAAGCAGGCTGTATATTTTTGAGGCGGAATTTTGTTTTGAGGGTGAAGCTGGAAACCCTCTAACATCGAAGTTGCCCTGAGGAGGTTCTCATCATTTGTAATATAGCGCAACATGAAAGTCTCAACTGGGATGTGGGTGGGCTCAGCATGGATGGCTATCTGATCCTCAATTTTCTGGATTGTTAGGAACAAAAGTCCAGCCCAAGTTTTCTTCAGCAAAGCTGAGAGATGTTTAACAACTGTTTGTCCAGAAAGGAAAGAAGGGAGGACAGAAGGATGGAAGGAAGAACAGGAGGAAGGAAAGAAGGAAAGAATGAAGGAACAAAAAAAAAAAGAGAAAGAAAGGAGGGAAGGAAGATAGATTTATAGCATTTTCAGATTCCCATAGGCTACATACATCACCAGGGCTTATTTCTAAGGCATTGGCCAGTTTATGCAATCCCTGACCAGAGGTTAGCCACAGGCTCTTGCAAAGAAGAGAAAACCCACTATAGCAGAGCAAGGGTGGCAAACCAAAGGCTGATTCACTCACTTGGTCACGGTGTGGAAAGAGGAGGCCCTCTTCATTTGTAACGTGGTGCAGAAATGACCTCAGCGAGGGTGAGAACCCAGAGAAGCACAGCCCCGCAGGCTTCTCTCTGCATACCAGGCCATTGTTGCCATGGAGTCATGCTCTGCACATCAACGCAAGGTTGCAGCGGGCGGTTTTTGGGTTTTTGGAGTTTGCCTCCTCACTGAGTCATGGCAGAGATGAAGAAGCCATCATCCCTGACTGGAAACATCCTAGGGAAAGTTGACTAGTCTTCCTTTGCCATGGGCTGAGACGGAAAGCTTGGTGGTGGTGAGGAAGTTGTATTGGCCCGGCAAAGCCAGCACTTCTGTGTCAGCCTTTGGACACTGTGACACGGCACCCGAGGACTAACTTGGAGAAGGAAAGATGCATTTGGCTTAGTTCAAAGCCAGTTAGTTCCATCACTTTTAGGTCTGAGTTGATGCAGAACACACTGACAATTTGAACATGTGGAAAAAGAAGATGCTGTCTTCATGGGAGCGAAGAAGCAATAAGACAGAAGGAGGACAAGGACCAGAATAAGATATATTCAAGGGCACGCTCTCAGTGACCTCATTCCTCCAGCAAGACCATACCTATGAGTTTCTAACACCGCCTAATAATGCTGCTGAAAGATGGTTCTATCCATGCAATCTTCTGTTGCAATTCCTCTGAGTTCTTCATCCAGAACAGCCTCAAGACTGCTGGCTGAGATGATCCAGCCTCGCAGAATGTTCCAGTCAGGACTTGACCATAATCCTCAACTTTCTTTGGGTCCCCATAAGATTATCAGCACCTCCCCCCACCCCAGCCAGGTAGTGGTGGTGTATGCCTTTAATCCCAGTACTTTGGAGGTGGAGGCAGGAGGATCTCTTCGAGTTCAAGGCCAGCCTGGTCTGGAAGAGCTAGTTCCAGGACAGACTCCAAAGCCAGAGAAATCCTGTTTCAGAAAAAAAAAAAATTATCAGCACCCTTGATCAGCAGGAAGTAGCCTAGAAAATTACATCCACATTCCCAAATATGGATTATGGATGTTTGTCTTTGTTTGGAGTTTTGGTTACAAGTTGTTAGAATAATGGTCAAGAAAAAAGCTAAGCAAAGAACATTAAATACAGAGTTCTTGTTTCAAATGAAAAAAGGGAATCTCTGGGTGGGTGTGTGCACTGGTGTGAATCTCTGGGCGGGTATGTGCACAGGTGTGCATCTCTGGGTGGGTATGTGCACGGGTGTGAATCTCTGGGCAAGTATGTGCACAGGTGTGCATCTCTGGGTGGGTATGTACACGGGTGTGAATCTCTAAGTGGGTATGTGCATGGGTGTGAATCTCTGGGCAGGTATGTGCACAGGTGTGCATCTCTGGGTGGGTATGTGCATGGGTGCGCATCTCTGGGCTGGTGTGAGATTGGGTGCGCATCTCTGGGCTGGTGTGTGCACGGGTGTGCATCTCTGGGTGGGTATGTGCACTGGTGTGAATCTCTGGGTAGGTATGTGCACATAATGCAGGCACCCAGGGAAGTGTGGGCTCTGGGAGCCAAACTCCATTCCCTGCAAGAACAGGAAATACTTTTAACCACTGGAGCCATCTCCTTAACTGCCAGAAATTACCCATTAATGACATGTCATGTTAACAAATACGTTTCCTCTGTGCTGTCATATTTAGAGCATAAAATTTCCAAGATGATTTTCCCCTTATTCAAAAGTCTAATTTTATATTTTATGTAGTTGAATATGCTCTACTTTGCCCTTTTAACTGAATCATTTTCATCAATGCTTAGACATCCCAGCTTCCCGCGAAATTTTAAGAAATGACTCATTTTATATATTTCTCATTTTCCTAGGTGTAAAACTTGTACACGTTTTATTATCCAATTCGTTTTTATTTAGTGTGTTTGGGGTGAGCCAAACATCGAGGCTGGCAGCTTTACCAAGCATTCAACAAAGTCTTCCCTTCCCCACCGCTCCATATAGATGCCAATAGGTAGAATTCTAGTCAACGGGCCAGTGAGGTAGAGCTGGAGGAGAGCTGTGGACCTTAGGAAATGCAGTGTAGGAGATGGTGAGGAATGGTTTTATCTGGAACAAAGGGTAGCTTAAAAATATTTTTGTCAGGGGCTGGAGAGATGTCTCAGAGGTTAAGAGCACTGGCTGCTCTTCCAGAGGTCCTGAGTTCAATTCCCAGCAACCACATGGTGGCTCACAACCATCTGTAATGAGATCTGGCACCATCTTTTGGCAAGTATATATATATAATAAATAAACTTAAAAAAACAACAAAAAAAAAACAAATTTTTGTCATTTTAGTTTATGTGTACCAGGCGTTCTGATTGCACATATGTCTGCACACCACGTGTGTGTATGATACCTTCAGAGGCCAGAAAAGGCCATCATATCCCTGAAATTGGAGTTATAGATGGTTCTGAGCTGCCATGTGGGTACTGAAAATCCAACCAGGTTTCCTGGAAAAGCAGCCAGTGCTTTTAACGACTGAACCTCGTCTCTAGTTTCAAGGGTAGATATTTATGATATTTTTTATAGTACTAAGATTAAAGTTAGGGCCTCATGTTTGCTAGGCAAATACTCTACCATTGTGCCATATCCCTAACCCTTTTTAAATTTTGGAACAGGAACTTCCTGTTGGCCAGGCTGACTTTGGACTGGCTCTGTTCCCCCATGTAAACTTTGAATTTGTCTTTCTCCTGCTTAAGCCTCCTGGGAACTGGTGTTTTGGTAATTCTTAACCAAGAATTTGTCACCTAAGGAGCTTTTAAGAAACATACCTGGGGTCTTACCATGAATGGGTCTGGTATTGTGGTCTGACATAGGTGCGTGCTAATTTGTTTATCCAAAAGTCTCCCAGACATTGCCAGTGCAGAGAATCACAGGAGACAAAGAGGGACAAACATGTAGGCTGCGGGTTACAAGCGGTGTTGAGGCCACGCTGAACCTAGTGATAGATTTAGGAGGCCAACAGCCTACCTTACACGGGAAGGGAGCCTTAAGTACCGTGAGAGAGGACATGGAGCCCTGCTGCTCGGCACAATGATCACACCTCCAAGCCCAGGTGTGAACTTGGGTAAGGGTGGGTTTCAATCCTGTTTGTCCCATATGCAGGCTGTTAGCTGGGTGGGTTGTTGGTCCTTTCTGAGTCTCTCTGTAACCACAACAATTGTGTTTACCTTCCAGGGTTGTGATGAGTCAAAGGGAACTCGGAGATTAAACACCTGGCTCAGCTCCTGACAGCTGTGTGCATTCTTTCCCCTCCACGGAACTTTTGGCCCTTGCTGGACTGGCCTGGTAACTAACTTCAGGATGAAGAGAGACGAGGTATTTGCAGGGAAGACATGCTAACACCCATTTGTTAGTGAGAGAAAGAGGTCTATGGAGCTCTGTAGTCCTAGAGGCTTTGATAGCCTCGTAGAGGCACTCCGGCCTCAGAGTACCAAAGAGAAACCCGAACTTCGTGTAAGCCTCAGCCTCACAGCTTACAGCACCATAATTCTTCGATTTCATAGCTCCATGGCTTGGCTGAGGTGGAACCTGGCTCCATGACAGGGTACCTCAGTTTAGTCACAAATGTAATCTCAGCCCCGGGCAGCTTGACCTGTGAATCTTAGCCATGACCAGCTGTTAGGAAGGCAACACAGACCTAGTCATTCTTATTCAGTGAGACTTCTCACTGAAGTCTGTTTGCAGAGTCAAGGCTCATCTCTGGAGGATGACAATACCTTTTTCCCCGCTCCCAGGATCCACCAGCCTCCACGTTAGGGCACTGATATCCATTCTGCAATTTATCGACAGCTCTTCTGTTTGGCGGGTACTTGAGAACACAGTAATCATTTAAAAATGACTTTTCATGCTGCCTAGTCTTCTAAATTAACACCAAATATTGATGTTGAGATTATTAGCAGATTTAGATTCCTTGGAGGTCAACTCATCCAAAAGGCGGTGTGGCTGACAGAAAGGAGTAGGGACCCGGAAAGTAGACACGTGTGGTCCTTGACTCCTGATTGGAACCAGCTTGCTTGTCCTCTAAATGAGAGTCTTTCTTACTCCGAGCCTAGTGTTTTCTTCCTCAGAGAGAAGATTTTTGGCTGGGTAGAGATAGATGCCGAGGAGATGTCAGGAGGACGGGGGAGGGAGACCTCCTGCTGCAGGGGTCCCTTAGGAAACCAGGAAGCTAACTTTGGGACAGTAGGGGAGAAGAGCCCTCCTCCCGCCTGGCACACTGATCACACCGTAAAACAGGCTTCGGATGGGGACTTAGAAATCTCTGGGTGCTGGTGGACAGGCTTGAGCTGCAGGGGATGAATGGGAGCCCCCGTCAGAGAACCTCTTGTCTGATTTTCCTTCCCTGCACACTGGAGAAATAGGTCAAGAGATGAATGGCATTTTATACTCTTGAAGCAAGCATAAGGGGATTTAGCTGGGCTTGTTGAAACAAGAGAGGCTTAAGTTAAATAGTAACATGGGCTCTTCACTGTGAGGAAAGAGCGAGGTTTATCCCAAGTCATTAAGTCCTCTAAGAGACTGGAAGATCTTTAAGTGGCTCTCCATCTCTGCTATGAACTGGACAGCTCCCCATGTTACTATAAAGCTCATTAGAGCTGGAAGTCTGTGGTGAGTCCATTCCCTTGCTCTGTCAATCCGCCTGCAAGGCGGAAACCTGGAAGGTGCGTCTGAGTCTCAGACAACAGACTCCTACTCCTGGCTGCCACCCCATCAAAGCTGGTATGGAAGCCAAGTCCAAGGCTCAGGCACCAGCTAGCCAAAGAGCGCTAAAGTGATTAGAAGTCTCCATCCAAACTCCTATGCTCCCTCTGTCTCTTTGAAAGAGTAGGCACTCAGCCAAGGGGATCTCCTGCTGCCTTTGCACACAGTTATGGGAGTATGATCCGAGGACACGAGAAGACTCCAAGGCAGCTGAACTTCAAGGCGGCTGGTATGGATGTCTAGGGATGATGGCCTCAGACGGTGAGATTTGGTTCCCCAGGTTTCTGAGCTCTTACTGGGTTCCGAGGATTGCTGTGGGTGCTGGGCTGTGTTGCTGGGAGAGATATGGTGGCAGTAATTCATAAAGACAGCATTAGCAACATGTGCTAAGAGCTGTGTGCCCAGGCTTCATTCCCTTTTGCTTGCTAAACAGTAAATATTTATGGAACCGATTGCTCACACAAACTGGCTAGACTGGTCTCTTTTCGGTTTCCTGGCTGCGCCACACACTAGAGGCATTTGCTCTTATCTACCCAGAAGTTCCCCTCCCCTCAGGTTATTTTTTTTGGGGGGGGGCAGGGGCTGGACCTCATGCTTCTTGGGTTTTTAAATCAGAGGTCCCGTTCTCATTGTAGCCTCTCTGATCACATAATCTAATGTCATGACTCCCATTCCCTCGGCACCTTCTTTTCACCGTTCTTACTCCTGGTAGCGTGCAGTGCTGCCCAGGACACCTTTCTTACTTGCCTGATCTCCGTGGCTAGCCCAGGAACCCCAGGACAGGGACTGTGGACTATTTTGTACATCCCTGTAATCCCCTCACCTGGGTCAGGTACTCAGCTTTGTTCGGGGCAGCACAGGAATTGAATGGAAGAAAGGCTTCCTCAGTACACCCAGTAAGTACCCAGTGATAAGCAGTGAGATAGCTCAGCGAACAATGTGCACCGGAGGGCCTTGCTAGAGGAGAGATAAGATAATAGGCCAGCTACACCGCAACAGACATTCTCCTGAAACAAAACACGCTGGATGCTTCACAGATACTTCCCTATGACCTCCCTGGTACCCCAGGCCTTAGAGACTATGAATTCCAGCATAGAGAGGCTCTATTGACTTTTAAAAAAAATAGCTGAAACTACCCAGGTAGTTTCTGAATAACGGAGGCCTGGACTTAATCAGTTGGCACACCTCAGTGAAATATATTTATTATATATAACACACACATATGTATATTGTATACACATATATATGTAAACCTTACAATGGGCTTTTTAATATTTATTGCTTCTCACAGGTCTGTGAGGCAGCTTTACAGATGATGAAAACTGCAACTCCAGAACCACATGCCCCGTGTCTTCCAGACAGCATCAGACAAACCCAGCCATGCTTTCCACTTCTGCTCAGGCCCACGAGGTGGAGGAGCTGGCCCCGGGGGAAGAGGAGGGCTTTCTGGGACCAAGTTTTCCGGGAGTAGGAGGCAGTAGGATTTCCAGGTGGGAGGGCTTGGAAGAAGGGCCTGAACGAAGAACTTTGGATGACTGTGGGACTGTGGAGGAAGGAGTCCCACACCCTGGCCCCTGCTCCCGCCCCGCTATTGTGGTTTAAGTCTAATAAGTAGATGTGGAAGATACTTGAGCAAGGCAGGGCAGGGTAAAAACCCTGTGTAGGAAGTAGGAATTTTAGAGTTACTCCTCTGTCTTAATTTCTTAGGAATCTATCCTGTCTGCTTATCCCTTCTGTTCAGTTTTTGTTAAATTAACAATCCATATTTATAACGTATTGTCTGAACCTCGTAAAAATCATTGCATTTACATATGATGTGTACTCCCATTAAACTTGCAAAGTTTTATCCCCGATATTCCCTTCATTTAAGGGTGAATACTTGATAGTGGAGGATGTTGAAAACCAAGTAAGTATTCTAGGTCATGTACTGCCCCATCCATCCATCCATCCATCCATCCATCCATCCACCCATCCATCCATCCATCCATCCATCTGTTGTGAGCTGAGCTGTCTTTATACACTTATGTGTTGAAACCCTCTAGTACCTTATATAATGTAACTGCATTGGAGACCGTCTTTAAAGGGCTGTTTAAGTTAAAATGGGGTTGTTAGAGTGAGTCCTGATTTAATCTGACTGGCGACCTTACCAAAAGTGGGCAGAGACAAATGTGCACAAAGCAAGATCTGAAAGAGGACACAGCAACAATGTAACCATTTCCCAGCCAAGAAGAGAGGCCTCAGAAGAAACCAGATCTTCTGACACCTTCAGTTTTCTTTTTTTATCTCCACATCATTCAAGCCAGTCTGTGGTGTATGGTTTAGAGAAGCTTGGGCAAATATATATGGCATTTATCCACCCACTGATCCATCCACCCGCCCATCCACCCACCTATCCATTAATCCACCCATCTACCCATTCATCTACATATCCATCTGTAAGTCTGTCCATCTGTCCATCCATCCATCCATGAATGCATGCATGCATCCACCCATCCATCCACATATCCATCTATCTACCCACCCACCCCACCCCATCCCCCGCCCCCACACACATACATACATTGTTGAGTGTCCCTTATTATTCAGGTAAACTGTTATTCTGGATAGTTTTGTGTCAACTTGTCACAAGCTAAAGTCATCTGAGAGGAGAGGATCACGATTAAGAAATGCCTCCGTAAGACTCAGCTGTAGGCAAACTTGTTGTTGTCTCAGTCACTGATTGATCGGGGAGGACCCAGCCTAGTGTGGGTGGTACCATCTCCGGGCTTGTGGTTCTGGGTTCTATAAGAAAGCAGGCTGAACAGGCAACATGAAGCGGGACAGTAGATAGCACCCCTCTATGGCCTCTGTATCAGCTCCTGTCTCTAGATTCCTGCCCTTTTTGAGTTCCTGCCCTGACTTCCTTGATGATGAACAGCAATATGGAAGTGTAAGCCAAATAAACCCTTTCGTCTGCAACTTGCTTTTTGGTCATGGTGTTTCCTTGCAGCAATAGATCCTACCTAAGACAGCCGCCTCGCTCTGAAGATAAAAGAACAAAGAGACCGCAGTCTACCCTGTTCCGGAGCGGCTAGCATTGAGTAAACAGGAGTTATGTCAGACTGTGGTGCGTGCCAGAACTGACTTGGGAGCTGGAGGTGTGGTCGGAGGGACACTGGATCCAGCTTGGGAGTGGAGTCATGAAACACAACAAGCTGGACTCCTGAGAGAATGGCAAATTAGGGCAACTTCTGGGAAATGCAAAGGCAGAAATACGCCAAGGGAGAAGAGCAGGAACTAGATGTGAGGATGGGAAGGGCCATGCTCAGCCCATGGTTCTCAGAGCTTCCTTCCCCGCCTTCGGCTCACCGGCTCCTGTGTGTCAAGAAGGGGTAGCGTGGAAGTGGATTTCCACTGGCAGGCTGGGGTGAGGTCTTTCTCTGCTTCCTGTGAGATTCCCGATGAGCATGAAGAATCTGGCTCTTGTCCAAAGGTCAGAAGGCCTTGGACCAGCTATGTACACGCTATGCCTTCTTCAACATGTCTTTACATGTCTCTACATGTGTGTGCTATTGTAACTGTAGGCTCAGTTGCTGGGATTCTAGCTGTCCACCACAATTCTCTACCCATGCCACCTTGCTCGCTGTCATCAGAAAGCTGTAGAGAGATTTTCTGAGTCTGGGAGGAGATGCAGGCGCAGATCGGGCCATGGAGGTAGGTAGACTCGCTGGATGTAGTAGGCAACCAGGAAGTGTGAAAGTTCGCAAAGACATGGATTAGTTAGTACAGCTTCCTGGCAGCCCTACTATGTCAGCCGTGGTCATGGTCATGGTCATGGTCATGGTCATGGTCATGGTCATGGTCATGGTCATGGTCATGGTCATGGTGCCTCAGCAGCATCACCACATCCCAAACCATCACCACCATCATCACCCATACCACTCCTATCAGCACCATTGCTAGCTTCCCCATCACCATAGGAGGCTCTGGGAGGTTGTCCTTGCTGGTTTCCTTCCCTCCGTTGTTCTTCCTTGTGGTTGTCTTAGACCCTAGACAGGTGGATTTTTAATAATGTGATATATTATCAAAGGGAAGACCCTAAAGGGATTTTATTCATTTGTTTAAAAAGTTTACTGCTCACTGCCAGTATGTATCCATATGGTTGACTTTTAAAAGATTTATTGGAAAAAAGATAGATTTCTTTATTTTCTGTATATGAGTGCATGTATACCACATCTATGCCTGGTGCCGGAAGAAGTCAGAATGTGTCAGATCCCACGGAAATAGCGGTACAGCTGGTTGAAAGCTACCATGTGGATGCCAAACCTGGGTCCTCTGCAAGAGCAACAAGTGCAGCCAGGCGGTGGTGGCGCACCCTTTAATCCCAGCACTCGGGAGGCAGAGGCAGGCAGATCTCCTTGAGTTCGAGACCAGCCTGGTCTACAAGAGCTAGTTCCAGGACAGGCTCCAAAACCACAGAGAAACCCTGTCTCGAAAAACAAAAAAAAAACAAAAAAAGAAAAAAATAAATAAAAGAGCAACAAGTGCTCTTAACTACTCCATTTCTCCAGTTCCTTAAAGATCTTTTTTGTTGTTGTTGTTTTTGAGACAGAGTTTCTCTGTGTAGCTGTCCTGGAACTCGGTCTGTAGACCAGGCAGTCCTCGAACTCACAGAGATCCTCCTGTCTCTGTCTCCCAAGCGCTGAGATTAAAACTGTGCACCATCACACCCAGCTAGTGATTTTTCTTATTTTAAATTACTTGTATCTGTGTGAGGGTGTGTGTACACGAGTACAGGTACTCCAAGAGGCCAGAGGCCAGAGGCCAGAGGCATTGCATCTCCCTGGAGCTGGAGCTACAAACAGCTGTGAGCCCCCCCCCCCCCCATAGGTGCTGGAGATTGAGTTCAGGTCCTCTGCAAGAACAGTATTTACTCTTATTGCGGAGCTGTCTCTGCAGTCTTCAGATTTGTATGTGTGGGTCTTGTACCTCGTGTGATTGGCTATTTAGCCCCTTGTTTCCCAGGGGAATCCCTTTGTGTTAATTAGGCTTTGTTGTTGTCATGCTCAAGTAACTGACAGGAGCACCTTAGGGTATGAAGGGTTCATTTTGGTCTATATGCGCATGATGGTAGGGAAGGCAAGATGGCAGTTTGTTACACTGTATCACAATTCGTTTGTTACAATGTATCCACAATCAAAGCAGGGAGAGATGAATGCTGCTGCTCACCCAGCTTCCTCCTTATTTGAGGATTTTACGCATGTATACAAAGTATTTTTATTTTTATGCCCTCCAGTTTTCCACAGATGCCCCAGTATATCCCTCACTCATATTTCATGTCCTTAAAAAGAAAACCCACTGAGTCAGATTAGTGTTGTCCATGTGTGCATAGGTGTGGGGTCACCACCAGATCCTGGAAACCTCCCCAACCAGACAATAGCTCCTCATTAAGGGGTGGGCTTGGAGAGCATTCCCCATTCACGCCCAAAGTTTGGCTTGCTTGACCTTGTACAGGTAACCGTTGCAGCTAACTGTTCGTGAGCACGGGGGCCACGCCATGTTGTGTAGGTAACATTTTCACAGCTTTCTTCCCATCCTTTGACTCAACATAAAGGGGTTTAGCAAAGCCATAGTCGTAACATTTATTGAACACCTACTATATACCAGACATCAGTCTAGGCACTGGGGATACAAACTTGAGTTAACTAATGTTTTACTCGTGGAGCTGGGAGCTTCAATTTGTGAGAAGAAGCAGTTAAGAACCAACAAACAAGTATTGTGGAAGAGAAAAAAGGATGCCAGTGACGAAAGTTTATTCAGGACAAAGTGGTCTTTAAAAGGGGAAAATCAAGGAGATAAGGTTAATCAGGCACGCCTTTAATCCCAGCACTCGGGAGGCGGAGGCAGGTGGATCTCTATGAGTTCAGGGCCAGCCTGGTCTACAGGAGCTAGTTCCAGGACTGGTTCCAAAGCTAGAGAAACCCTGTCTCGAAAAACAAGACAAAACAAAAACAAAATAAAACAAACAAACGAAAAAGGTTAACCAGGCAATGAAAAGGGAACTAGGGAACAAAAAGTCCCTAGGTATTAAGATATCTGGGGGGGGGGGGACACTGGAGTTGGTATGTAAAATGAAAAATTTTTTCTTTAAAATAAAAAATAATGATACAACTAAATGTCCTTTTACACAGTAGTGTAATATGTTATGAGCTCACTATTTTTATTTGTAAATATAATTTTAAACGAATAATTAAATATGGTTAAAATGAAAAATAAAAGGCCTCTGGCACACTGAGGATAGAAGCCATTAACAGCAGGTATCTTGGAACAACACCCTGGGAGTGTTTGGGAAAGGCGTGTGACACAATATGACTTGTAGTTTAGTGGAGCTGAGCTGACTCTTGTGCGGAACATCGACAATTCTTTTTTTTTTTTTAGTTTTTCGAGACAGGGATTCTCTGTAGCTTTGGAGCCTGTCCTGGCACTAGCTCTAGTAGACCAGGCTGGCCTCGAAATCGAAATCACAGAGATCCGCCCGCCTCTGTCTCCCGAGTGCTGGGATTAAAGGTGTGCGCCACCACCGCCCGGCAGGACGTCACATTCTTAAACAGAAAGGCCAGGCTGGGGGTTAGGTCAATTTCCCAGTTGTGAGAAGCTTTGACATCAATGGTATAGCAGCCCAGGGGGAATGGGAGATACTAGGTAAAATGTAAAGAAAAAGCCAACAAGGTCTGTCAACACAGTGCATCCAGAGATGGGTGGGGAAATTATGCAGTAGCCCTGTGCCTCTGATTCTGTAAGGCCCTGGGGACTTGTGGCTTCTGGGGACTTTATCATCTCAGTGCAGAGGGGAAGCAGCCTACATTCCTGGGCCCTTTTCATTCAGGCATTCTGGCTGGAATGCGGGAAACCAAGAAGACTCCAGGCTCTCAGAACTCGACCTTATAATTTAGTCCTTGCATTATGAGGGTGCCTGGAAGAGATGTGTCTGGCTCCTCCTCCTCCTCCGTATTCCTGATCCCATCCTACACACTTAAGGGTGGAGAAGCAAAAGAGGGACGAAGGCGTTCAGACACTCAGGAAACAGAAAGGGACAAGTCCCCTGAATGCATGCTGTGCTGACAAGAAGAAGCCAGCAGAATGGCTCTAGTGTCTACATGTTTGCTTCCATGATGGCTCTGGGCAGGTCCCCTCCTCCTAAGGGTGTAACCAATCCCCCTACTTCAGAAGAAAACACTACCTGCTTTTAAAGTTAAACACATCTTAGCCTGTGGTTTGTGAGCCACATACAGCATAGGGAGCTCCCAGAAAAGACGATGAAAGAAAATCCTTGAAATCTGGACACAGGAGCTCTGTGAAGCCCTGCTTGTCCCATGTGGCTCTGCAAACGGCATTAGCTACCCTTTCTTCTGAGACTTGCTATGAAGTCAGCATCTTATGGTCTGACTCCTGCAATCCCCACCATGTGGCAAAGCCAGTCTTTTTATTCCGTTCGATAGAGGAAGTCACTGAAGTTCAGGGACATCGTGTTCTACAGGAGGTTCTGGAACCGAATGTGAGCTCAAGTCAGCTTATTCCAGAGCCACTGTCCCCTGCCCTCTGCATCTGAGTGTTGTGTGGTGTGTGTGTGCACGTTTGTGCACGCACATGAGCATAGAGGCCAGAGAGAACCTCAGACATCATTCATTAGACACCATCTACCTCTTTTCTTTTCTGAAAGACAGGGTCTCTCACTGGACTGGAACTCTCCTAGCCAGGGAGCCGTGAAGCCTGACTTTAAGTATGTGTGTATGTGTGCATGTGTACGTGTGTGTTATATGTGTATATGTACTTACCAGTGCACAAGTTCATGTGCACGTATGTGGAAACCAGAATATTTCAGGTGTCCTACCCTAGGGTTCATTCCCTTGAGACAAGCATCGCTCAATGAACCTGGGGCTAGGCTGGCAGTCAGCTAGCCCCAGCAATCACACTGTTTCCTTACCACCTGCCCCCATCACTGGGGTTCCATTCCCTTGCAGCCAGGCCTGGTGTTTTATGTAGGTCCTCGGGACTTGAACTCAGGTCTTCTTCCCTGTCTTGGTATGGCCTTTAACATGGGCTCTGGGGATCAAACTCAGGTCCTGGTGCTTGTAAGGACTGTCACTCTAGCCTGTCACTATCCTTCCAGTGCTCAACAGATAAAAAACTGGAAATATTCCATTCCCACCTCTGCCCTGTGCATGTAACTCCTTAAACAAAACAAAACAGAGCAAAAAAAGCTAAAGCTCATGGATTATTTTCACTAACAGGTGAGCGACTGTTTTCTCCAAAGAACATATTAATGTCTTAATGAGAAAGCTTTAGATAGATAAATGCTTCACAGAGAAGGTGGCCCTCAAGGTCACAGCATTTGGTGGCAAAGCCTAGACTCAAAAAGCAGTTAATGCTGCTGCCTCCAGGCCAGAGTTTTGGCTGTGTTCCAGCAGGGTGCCCTGAATTACCAACCCTCCCCCACCCTGTTAACAGAGACAGTGAAGGAGGGTCTCTGTACATCAGTAATTATAAGCACGCTTGTACTTAGGTACTTTTTTTTTTTTTTGACACAGGGTTTCTCTGTAGCTTTAGAGCCAGTCCCGGAACTTGCTCAGTAGACCAGGCTGGCCTTGAACTCACAGAGATCCAGCGCTGGGATTAAAGGCGTGTGCCACCACCACCCAGGGCGGTACTTATGTTCTTTTAAATCAGGGTAGTTTTTTTGTTTTGTTTTGTTTTTCGAGACAGGGTTTCTCTGTGGCTTTGGAGCCTGTCCTGGAACTAGCTCTGTAGAGCAGGCTGGTCTCAAACTCACAGAGATCTGCCTGCCTCTGCCTCGCGAGTGCTGGGATTAAAGGCATGCGCCACCATCGCCCGGCATCAGGGTAGTTTTGAACATTTTGTGACAACCCAGCTTGTTGTCTTCATCTGTCCCTCTGTCCTGCAGGCTGAGGAACCCTGTGCTTTGTCGAAGCAGGAGGCTTCTGCTACAAATCCTGCTGTTCAGCCCATGCAGGGGTGTTCTCTTCTGGATAGAGCAGATGATTTCACTAGAGCAGGTTCTGGTGCGAATTTTAGTCATTCTGTGTTATTTCCCCCACAACAGCGACTCCTCTGCTTGCTTTCCTCCTTCTGCTATCCGCAGCCACTCCACCCAGCTCATCTCCACACGCAGCACACACCCTTCAAGTCAAGACAGGTGTCCGGGCTCACCCCACTTCCGCCTCAGAAATGTTTCCTGTTCTCCCACTATGCAAATCCATTCTCCAAATTATTCTTTGTTCCGCACCCTGTGTACGGCTCAAGGTTGGCTTTCCAAGTTCTTTTCACATTTACATTCTCAGTTCTTAGATTTTTGCCCTTAGCATGCTCCCCAGACATTCTGCAGATCGCAGGCACACATGTGCCCATTCAGAATTTAAAGGTAAGCAATAAAAAGCATGAGGAGCAATGGCTGTCCTCAAGGAAGGTGTCTCCAGCAGTGTCCAGGCATCTCTCTGGCACACAGTGGGCCTTCAGCACAAGAGACATATAAGGTCTCCTTGCCGTTGCTTAAGCCAAGAGAGTTACTGGCATAAGACTGCCAAAGAATAGGAGTGGTGGCATTTGAACAGGACTTTAAAGACAGGAAGATTTTTGTTTTGTTTTCTTCTTTCTCCTCTTATGCAGATTGGGAGGAGGTTACAGACAGAAGAAACTTACTTCCTTACTTCTGCCAGGCACACCTCAGGACTTCATCAGAAGTCAGACAGATGTAGGGGGTGAGTGAGCCCCCAAGCCCCTGACTACTAAACTAGAGAACCAATAGATCTGAGCTAAAGTTTGTTCCCCAGGCCCTCATTCCCCTTCCAGTTAGAGATGAAGTCGCTCAGGCTTCAGAAGCTCCAGCAGTAGTTTCAGAGCCTGGCTATGTGTGACTTTGAAGCATTCTATTGGGGCTGAGGATCCTTCCGTTTCTGTCCTGTAAAATGGGCAAATATAATCCCAACGTTCCAAGGCTTTTGTGAACCCATATAAATTGATAAGCCCGGTCCTGGCATTGTTATATTCCTTTTTTTTTTTTTTTTTTAAACAAATGTGGAAGTAACAACCTTGAGCTGTGTCCTGCTAAGTGTGGGTGCTGGTGGCTTCTCTTCACTCAGTCCAGAGACTGCTTGGAACAGGAACTGTTGTGAGACTGTATGGTACCCTAAATGAAAACAGAGTCAAGGGGGCTGGGGAGAGGGTTTGTCTACAGTTGATTGTCCCGGCCAAGAGAGCCACTCAAGTAACTCAGTTCCTTGGACGAGTAGCAGTCCACATCCAAGGTGTTTGGGTGCAGTCCTTCGAGCCTAAAAACCCTCCGGAAGAGACTAGGCCTGGTTGCGGGCTTGCAGGATGGCCTTGGGGGAAGGGTGACTGTGGATTCACCATAGGCAAGAGGGGCGTTGGGTCCCCACCCTCCAGAGCCCGTAGCCTAGTGGAGTTCAAGTGGGGCCCAAGTGGGGCTCACCCTCAGCACAGCGCTCAGGGTCAGCCCCGCTGACTCCACTCGAGGGTAGTTCGGGCACTAGGAGGCCACCCCAGCAGCCGCACCCAGCCTCGCCCAGCCCGGCCCCACCCGCCCTTCCACCCTCCCTCCCTTCCTCCCTCGGTGGGGTCGCGGCGAAGGGAGGAGGGGCGGCGGCCGGCTTGCGTGGCAGGCTCTCCGGCTGGGCTTGGCCTCCCTTCCCGGGAGGCGGGGTCGGCGCCGCGGCGGCGGCTGCGGAGCCAGGCCCCCTCCTCCTTCCCGGCCGGCCTCTTTGCTCGCCGCCCCACGCTCCGGGCCGCTCCGACGCCGCCGCGTCCGCGTGCTGCCAGCGCTGCCCCCGCGGGAGCCGGAGCCAGCGTTCCGGGCCGTGCACTCCACTTGCCCCGCTCGCCCATCCCGCCGCCACCGCCGCCGCCATGCCCTCGGCCAAACAAAGGGGCTCCAAGGGCGGCCACGGCGCCGCCAGCCCCTCGGACAAGGGCGCCCACCCGTCGGGCGGTGCGGATGACGTGGCGAAGAAGCCGCCGCCGGCGCCGCAGCAGCCGCAGCCTCCGGCGCCGCATCCGCCGCAGCAGCACCCGCAGAATCAGGCGCACCGGGGCGGCCACCGCGCCCGATCCTCGGCCGCCTCCTCCACCGCCGCCGCCGCGTCCTCGGCGTCCTGCTCGCGCAGGCTTGGCCGGCTGTTCAACTTTCTCTTCTACCTCGCGCTGGTGGCGGCGGCCGCCTTCTCTGGTTGGTGTGTCCATCATGTCCTGGAGGAGGTCCAGCAGGTCCGGCGCGGCCACCAGGACTTCTCCCGTGAGAGGGACGAGCTGGGCCAGAGCTTGCAGGGCGTCGAGCAGAAGGTGGGTACCCCAGCTTTGGTCGGGTCGGGACCCCACTCCTGTCCTCCTTGAAGGGGCCCTCGTCCTTTCCTGCCTAGGCCCTGTGGCTAGCCGTGGGACCCCAGATCCCTAGAAGCTAGGGTGGCCCCAAACCCGCTTTGTTAATGATCCTGGAGAGGGACGGGTCAGGCTGCGAGGATGGCCAGACCATCGAGGGAGGGTGGGCCAAGGGCCTGTCACAGGACATTAGCTGTGACCTGTAAGGAAGCAGGCAGGCTCCACGGAGCCCATTCTTTTTGCATTAGGAACCGCTGAGTGGGCAGAGTTGCCTGAAAAGGAAGCTGGAAGGGAAGCCAGCGCATCCCTGGAAGCCTTTGGTCAAGGCTTCACCTCGGTTCTGCCAGTGGGAGTCATCCGAGCCAGTTTTTAATAGACCCAGAGCTCTGGGGGAGGGAAAAACTGGTGAGCTTAGTCATTAGCTAAGTTCAGATGAAATGGTGTCTATCCTTAGCCGGGCCAATGGGCCCGTGTGGGGGCCTTTGAAGTAGCCTACTCCAGCTTGAGAGGAAACGCAAGGCCAAAGTTATCAGGTCACATTTATGGGATGTGCAGATTCGTGTATTTTATTTTCCAATCCGTAGAGTTAACCCTGGAGGGAGGAAGGGAGGACTCACAGTTCCGATTCCATTTTCCAGATCAGAATATTGAGGTTCAGAGACATAAAGTGAGTTGACTAAGATCCCAGTTGACTGAGTTACAGACTGTCTAAGAAAGTCTGGGCCCACCATGTGATGAAAAACCCCTAGCTAGCTGTTTCAGGAATGGCTGTACCCAACTCCCAGGACAAAATTGCTTAGCTTCCACACTTCCAGCACGAGGGTAACCCCCTTTCCTCCCATGTCCCCCCAATCCCCGCCCCCACCATCCTACACCATCTCCTTGCTCAATGAAACTCAGTTGCTGGACGGAAACAAAAAATCCCGCCACTTCTGAGCCCGGAACCACCGCCTCCTTTTCCCAGCATGCTGCTTGCTCTGCCAAGTCCCTAGTTTTGTTGAGTGTGCAGCGCTAGGAATTTCCTCCGTAGACGAGAAGAGCAACCAGAGTGAGTCAGCCTGTGAAGTGGTGCAGGCCAAGGGAGGTGACTTCTGAGGGAGTCGAGTAGGCAATTCTGCTGTGCATGCGGAATCTCGGAGCACCCTAAAGACACAGACACCCTGCAGGTCGCCAGCTCCTGCTTCCCCGCTTCCATCCACCCACCTGCTCATCAGTCATAATATTTATCGAAGCCTGATAGTTGTTGCATGGCAGTGTGTGGGCCCTGGGGAGGATATGGAGGAGAACAGGGCACAGAGCAAGCGTGTAAAGAGACACGCTAAGTAGGTGTGAGTTGGTGGGTGACTTGCACACGCTTTGGGAAGGAAGAACTTGCGAAACTAACCTGGGTCTGACGGTGGGTGGAGCCGTCAGAACCGTTGGGAGGGGGACTCTGTAAAGAGCTTACAGGTAAGGGGACAAACTTGAACACGCCTGGAAGGCAGAAGGTGGCTAGCCTTTCTGTGACAGAGCGACACTCAGGAAATACAGAAATTGGACATGGAGGCCCACATGGAGGATGTCTTGAATCCAGGTTGGAGAAACTGGGTATTTCCTGTGCTGCCTGTCTCTCGGTTGGTCCCCTCCCCCTTCCCTGTAGTTAATAATTGTTGTCACCTTCTTCCCTGGGCCTCAGTTTCTCATTCTGGTGCCATCAAGATTTGAAAGACGGGGCTGGGGGAGGAGATGCAGGGATGGCCCCGTCAGTAGGGTTTGCTATGAAAGCATTAGGACTTGAGTTTAGCTTCTTAGGACCCGTGTAAAAAGCCTGGCCTGGCAGTCCGCACGGAGAAGGCACAGACGGGAAGATAGCTCTGGAGTTCACTAGCCAGCCAGGCCAGCCAAATCAGCGCGCTTCAGCTCTGGTAAGAGACCCTGTGCCAAAGAGTAAGGTGAAGAGCCCTGTCAACATCTGGCCTCCACACGTATGTACGTCCATGTCCTGCAGCGCATTCACACGCACATGCAAGCACAGACTTTGCAGGAATCTTCACGGCTCCAAAGCTGTTGAAGCAGTGACCTCCCTAGGAAAGAGGTAATGGTGTTACCAGTCTGCTTTTCAGGCATCGTGTACATGAGTGGCTATACCACAGGACCACAAGAAGTCCAGAGCTTCAGTTCATGTGGGCGGGTCAGCCACAGCCCTAGATAAACCCCCAATGCCCTGGTCCATCTCAAGGTTCTCTAAAGCAATAGCAGGGGTGGCTCAGGCTGGTAGGAGCAGGTTGTTGAGAGGATGGGCTATTTGTAGGGAGTGAGTCTCTATTTGGGTTTTATCGTTTCTCATGTTGGGTCTGTGAAGAAGAGCCAGGGCTTGCTTTCGGTGGTGGCAACCCTCTAGGCATCTTTGGGAATAGTTCAGCTCCTAAAATTAGACGTTTTGGGATTCTGCTGCTTCCACCTACCTCACGGTGGACATCTCACGCATTCCAGAAGAGCAGGCATCAACACATATTGTTATGAACTCTGCACGAAGACAAACAACCTACAGTGCCCTCAATAGGGGAGACGCTGGCTTCCTTTGGGGGTTGGGAATGGTTTCTGATCCAAATCACTTCCTAGCCTTCTGTAAAGAGCCAACCTGGGATTAAATAGGAGCCAGGCCCATCCAAACTTTATCAGGCATTGCTCTGAATTCCCTCATTCTTTGGCCCATTGAGAAAACACGGAGAGTGGCCCTGCCATGTTGCAGGTGCTGGGCTCACCCACTCATGCTTCTATTTTAAGTGCTGTGCTTAGAACAGGAAGGCATTGTGATTTACTAACCTAGTTTTAGAGGTCACCTCTCTCTCCTGCCTTCTCTCCGTTTTTTTTTTTTTTTTTTTTTTTTTTGGTTTTTCGAGACAGGGTTTCTCCGTGGTTTTGGAGCCTGTCCTGGAACTAGCTCTTGTAGACCAGGCTGGTCTCGAACTCTCCGTATTCTGTATGTCTCAGGTTGTATTTGGCTGGGGAGGGAAATTGTCTACTTTCTGGAGCCCTTGAGAACCCCATTCTAATCTATCTTTAAAAAAAAACCTCAGACGTGGGACGTGAATATGAGTTTAGTTCCTAGAGCGTGGGGGGCGCGCTCTGTGGCTAGGGTATCCTGCGTGCATCCTTGCTGTGCTCTTAGCTTCTCCTCATCTTTTGGCGTTGAGTGGAAGGTACTGCTAGGACTTCCCTGAGTGTTTGAGGAGTTTAGGATAAAGCCTTGAGCATCCAAGAGTTAGGCACAGTTAAGCGCTTTATGTGTTCAAACTCACTTAGTTCTCACGGTGACAATACTGAGTCAGGTATGAGGTTCTTTATCTTAATTACTTTTTTTTTTTTTTGTAAGATAGCCTCTCTGTGTAGCCTCGGATGTCCTTGAACTTCTGACCTTTTTACTTCCACCTCAGAGGCATAGGCTACCAGACCCAATTTATTAAGTACTTGGGCTTGAATCTAGGAGCTTGTGAAGGCTTCTAGTAGTCTACCAGCTAAGCTATATGCCCAGTCCCAGCCCGTGTGTGTGTGTGTGTGTGTGTGTGTGTGTGTTTACCCGATTTCACACTCTTGCACTGTTTTTAAATCGAGAGAACAACCCCCCTCAAGATTTACTTTTGTTCTGTGTGTTTGGTGTTGTGTCCGCATGTGTGTATGTGTGCATGCTTGGTGCCTGAGGAGGCCAGAAGAGGATATCAGATCCTGTGGAACTAGAGTTACAGACATTGTGAGCAGCCTTGTGATTGCAGGGGAATTAAGCCGAGAACTTCTGGAAGAACAGACAGTTCTCTTAACCCCTGAGCCATCTCTCCAGCCCCTGACAACTCTTAAATTTAGTTTAATCTAGAATATCTGTCTTCCTCCCTTTTTACAAATACATTTAATAGTTGACTATTAATGACATTATTTATCCCGCAGACCCCTCGACACTGGGTTTATCTGGTAATAACCTCATGGCATCATAACGAGTCTCTGTTTCATGTTCCAGAAATGGGGAGTTGGGCCACACTGCTGGCCTTCTAATTCTTTCCTTATATTCACAGCCCCCCCCAAATTCACAGGTGCTACATCAGGATAAGGCCTACCCTTTTGATCAGCACAGCCGCTCAGTGTGTTAGGCAGGCTTGGCTTGTTAGGAGGCCTGCACTGTGCCTCATTCAGAGTGGAGTCCCTGTAGAATGGGTGTGTAGCAGCAAAGGTCACAGCGTGTTCACAAAAGCCAGAGAGCCCTAAGGAATCTTCCGGCCCGCTGCTTGTGTTTTCAAATGAGGTCACTGAGACGTCCAGGGAGGACCTGACGTCCAGGGAGGACAGTGGCTCGCCAAAAACCACACAGCTGGATGTGGTTGGCATCGACCTGGACTTGGTCTCTGTGCTCTGTGCCTCAGGCTCTTTCCTAAGAAAATGTGTGATGCTCAGTTGCAGGAGCTACAAAGCCAACCCTAAAATAGTAGCGGGAGGGAAAAGAGAATAGGAGACCGAAAATGCTGATTGACCCAAACTAGAAAGCTCAAGAGTAGACTCGCAGGTTTAGCTGTCTTCTGGGACTGAGTTACGTCTTCAGAATGGGATCTGGCCTTGTTTCAGCTGTCTCCCTGCGTGTTGTCTTGATTGATGGGTGGGTGTTGACCATTCATTACTGGGGGCTGGTCTGAGCAGCTCCAGGCCTCCCTCATCCAGTGGGAAAAGGTGCTGCCCACCTCATCAGCCTGCCTAGCTCTTGTCCTTCCCTGGCTCGCCATGTTGGCTGAGAGGTAGGCAATGAGAGAGGCAGATGGACCTTGTTGCCTGGTCGGGTTGGGTAATGAGTCTCCTTGTTACCACGGCAACCACCACACAACCACCTTTGGAAGGAGAGTGCTGATGGGGAGAATACAACAGAGTGCAGAAAAGAATGGGTATACAGACACCCCAGAAACTGTTCTCTGTGGCTAACATCTGGATTCGCTCGTAGGTACAGTCTCTGCAAGCCACGTTTGGGACTTTTGAGTCCATCCTGAGGAGCTCGCAGCATAAACAGGACCTCACAGAGAAAGCCGTGAAGGAAGGGGAGAGCGAGATCAACCGTATCAGCGAGGTCCTACAGAAGCTGCAGAACGAGATTCTCAAAGACCTGTCGGATGGAATTCACGTGGTAAAGGACGCCCGAGAGCGCGACTTCACGTCCTTGGAGAACACGGTCGAGGAGCGCCTGACGGAGCTCACCAAGTCCATCAATGACAACATCGCCATCTTCACCGACGTGCAGAAGAGGGGCCAGAAGGAAATAAATGACGTCAAGATGAAGGTTGCCTCCTTGGAAGAGTCTAAGGGTGAGCGCAGTCAGGACCTGAAAATTCTGGAGAAAGCCCTGAAGGAGGTACAGGCCTCTGTGAAGTCCAGGGAGAGGGACATTGAAGCCCTGCAGAGTTCCCTTCGGACCATGGAGTCTGATGTCTACACAGAGGTCCGGGAGCTAGTGAGCCTCAAGCAGGAACAACAGGCGTTCAAGCAGGCGGCCGACTCAGAACGTCTGGCTTTGGAGGCCCTCACAGAGAAGCTTCTGCGGTCTGAAGAGTCCTCCTCCCGCCTCCCAGAGGATATCAGGAGACTGGAAGGGGAGCTGCAGCAGCTGAAGGCCCAGGCCCATGGGGCAGAGGAGGCCATCGTCTTTAAAGACTCCAAAGCGGTAGATGAACTCCAGAGGCAGATTGAGGGCCTAGGTGCCAGGCTCCAGTATGTGGAGGACGGTGTGTACTCTATGCAGGTGGCTTCTGCACGCCACACCGAGAGTCTGGAGTCGCTCCTGTCCAAGAGCCAGGAGTACGAGCAGCGTCTGGCTATGCTGCAGGATCAGCTGGAAAGCCTGGGGTCCTCCTCCGATCTGGCCAGTACAGTGAGGAGCCTGGGGGAGGCCCAGCTGACCATGGCCAGCGACGTGAAGGAGCTGCAACACAGCGTGGGCGAACTCCCCTGCGCTGTGGAGTCGCTGCAAGAACAGGTGCGCTCCCTGCTCAGCCAGGACCAAGCCCAGGCCACGCCTCCCCAGGACTTCCTAGACAGGCTTTCCTCCCTGGACAGCCTGAAATCCTCCGTGAGCCAGGTGGAGTCGGACTTGAAAATGCTCAGAACTGCCGTGGACAGTTTGGTTGCCTACTCTGTCAAAATTGAAAGAAATGAGAACAATTTGGAGTCGGCCAAGGGCTTGCTGGATGACCTGAGGAATGACCTCGATAGGCTGTTTGTGAAAGTAGAAAAGATTCATGAAAAGATCTAGATGAACTTGCTGCGTGTGCAGGGCACGGATTTATAGTCCGGTTTCTTACGACCAAAAACAAAACGAAAAACAATTATTGTTTCCTGCCAGGCGCCCTCCTGCCAGCCTGTTGCCCCTCCCGCCACGGGAAGCAGTAGACACGTGTTCTGTGCCCGGTTAATTTATGCGCAGTTATTGCCACTCACCTTTGGTTCCTGAAATCCTGTTTCTGCTTTTGGTTTGGCTTCCTAGAGGCCCAGCCCTGTGCAGAAATGGTGACTTTTAGGGGGAATGTGTCTACTGTTAGGGAGAGGACAATGGCTTTAACTGGGGATTAACAGGGAACAGATTAACCTAAAAAAAAAGAAAAAAAAAAAAGAAATCCTGTCTGGCTGACCGATTTATAGTAAAACACAGCAACAACAGAAATGGGGTGGGCAGGCATTTTTCTTTTTAATTGTCTTTAAGGAAAATCAATTTTTTTTAATACGCCCGGCCAGAGTTTTTATGTCTCTTGTCTTCCACTTATAAGTGGTAAAATCTCATAGATGTGAGCTCTGAAGGCAAGGAGGAGAAAGCCCCCAGAGCCTTCTGCTTGAGGGTCACTCTCAGAGGTGCGGTCCCTTTCCGATTCTGGCTCTAGCCATAGCAAAGGTAACTATGCAAACTCAGAAGGTTCCAAACATGAAAAACGGCACCCTGAGGCCCAGGGCCCTTCTGTTTCTGGTGACCCACCTGCGTCAGCACATTTGGAGGGGTAACCAGGTGAGTTTGGAGTCCTAGAGGAGACACCTTTGTGTTGTGGTGTCTGAGCTGTACTTTCTCCCTGGGAGATGGGGGACCAGATCCTGTATTTTGTCACAGTATTCCTGAAGAGGGCTCCGATGCCTGGCCCCATCTGTCAGCGAGGATCACGTGTACTGCATCTTGTCATTGCTCTTGGCGGTACCCTTGCCCCTTGGGCTGTTTTGTCTCTGGCTGCCTTGCCCTTCCCATTCCCCACCCCACCCCTCAGAAAAAAAGGAAAAAATTTTTAAAAAAAGAAAAAGCTACAAAGAAAAACAAGGTTTGTTAGTTTACTGTGAAATGAACTGTACGGCTTATTTACAGTATTTTTAATTCTTAATAAACCCTTGAGCTTTGTTATGAATTCAGCGGTGATGATGTATTCCATCGGCGGGAAGTACTCGGGATTAGAAGATCGATAGATTTTTTTCCATTCCGAGGCGTTTTAAAATGTAAAGCTTTTAAAAAAGAGTTGCTATCTGGGGGAGGTGGTGTGTGCCATGGCACACGTGTGAATGTCAGGGGTCGCAGCCTGTCAGGCTCTGCTGCCCCGGGTTTGTATGTTCTGTCGGCCTCTAAAAAGGTCGGTTTCTAGCTATTGCTGATATCACAACATGACACCCTTTAGCCTTTTCCTCAGGGAAGGGGGTGAGGGCCTAAGAGACCAGCACCTGTCTTTGTATGACTTCCTAGCTGGTTCTAGTGTGTAGTCAGGGTGAGCCACTGTCTTAGATGTATCTTAGGTGGCTGATGCACCCCTGGGCATTTCCTGCGGACCCCTGGTTTCCCATCTGCCACCTAATAAAACAGATGTTGCTTATTTTGTACCTGTGTGTAAGCATGGGTAGTATATGTGCTGCCGGAGATAGCTGGAGAAATGGCTCAGCAGTTAAGAGCACTGCCTGCTCTTCCAAAGGTTCTGAGCTCAGTTCCCAGCAACCACTTGGTGGCTCACAACCATCTGCAGTGAGATCTGGCGCCCTCTTGAGGAAGAGACCTGGTCAGTCATCCTCATCAACTTAGACCCTAAAACCCAGTATGGACAAGTTCAACACAACCACAGGGGACTTGGAGGCTGAAGCTCAGTAGAGAGCCATGTCTTGGGGGAGCTTTGATGATGTCTTCATCTCTGTGGTACACAGTGGTGCCTCAGTTTGACCCCAGCTGCCTGGTATCTTCAGATGTCTGGATCTTGTCCCGCTGCCACCCACAGCCTGACAGTGATGCCAGGCAAGCCCATCTTCTCTTTTCCCTCATCAGCATCAGATGATACAGTTCAGACCATTGGCTCTCACATCCTAAGATGAATACACCAGGAAACTATCCACACAAAGCTGGAGAGAGCACTCAGTCAATAAATTGCTTGCAGCCCATGCCTGAGGACCTGGATTTGGATCCCCAGCCCTCTTATGAAAAAGCTGGGTTAAGGGAATCTTCCAGGAATCCACAAGGACGACCCTAGCTAAGACTCCTAGCAAGAGTGGAGAGGGTTCCAGGACTGGCCTTCTGTAATCAGATTGATGACTACCCTGAGTGTTGTCATCAGAGAGCCTTCATCCAGTAACTGATGGAAGCAGATGCAGAGATCCACAGCCAAGCTCTGGGCCAAGTCCTGGGAGTCCTGTTGAAGAGAGGGATGAGGGATTGTAAGAGCCGGGCACCTGCAGATTCTGGACAGACAGGGAACCTCCTTGGGACCAACCTAGGCCTCTGCATGTAAACGGGGAACCAGGGATCCTCACAGCACTTAAGCCAAAGCTTAGGTATTACCTGCTTCCCACTTCTTTCCTTCCTGTGTTGGCCAGTTTAATGTCAACTTGGCACAAATTAGAGTCATCAGAGAGAAGGGGGTCTCAGTTGAGAAACTACCTCCATAAGATCCAGCTGTAGGCATTTTCTTAATTAGTGATTGATGGGTGAGGGCCCAGCCCATTGTGGGTGGTGCCACCTCTGATGGTGGTCCGGGGTTCTATAAGAAAGTGGACTGAGCGAAGCTGAGGTGATCTCATAGGCGAAGGCAGTACTGGGCCTTAAAGGCAGGGCTGCAGCTAGACCCAGCGCAGTAGCGCTGGGGGGCCACCGCGGGAGCCCGTTGCCAGGAGCAGCTGCGTCGCCGGGGATCCCGAGGTGGTGACGACACGGAGAGGGAGCTCCCTGGCCCCGCCCAGCCCCATCTCGCAGGTAGAGCGCAGTGGAAGACTTTGGTGCTGCCTTCATGCGGTTCCCGTTTGGAAAGTCTCACAAATCTCCAGCAGATATTGTGAAGAACTCGAAGGAGAGCTTTGCAGTTTTGGAAAAGCAAGACATTTCTGACAAAAAAAGCAGAAAAAGCTACCAAAAATGCTTCCAGGAAGTTGGTTGCTTTGAAAAAGATTCTGTACGCAAGCCTCAGGCAGAAGCAGTAGCTCAGCTGGCTCAGAACTGTACAGTAGTGGACTTAGCACACCGGTGGCTGATCTACAGCTCGTTGGCTTTGAGGGCAAAAAAGACGTGGCTCAAATTTTCAACACTATTCTCAGAAGGCAAATTGGTGCGAGAACTCCTCCTGTTGAATGCATTTGCACCCAACAATATTTTGTTCATGTTATCGGAAGGGTGTGAGTCTCCAGAAATAACTTTTGTTTGTGGGATAATGTTAAGAGAACGCACCAGACACGAGCCACTTGCAAAAAATCATTTTGTGGTTGGAACAGTTTTACTATTTCTTCAGGTACGTTGAAGTGTCAATATTTGACATAGTTTCAGAAGCATTTGCTACATTCAAGGATTTACTCACAAGACATAAATTGCTCAGTGCAGATTTTTTTGGGAACAGCATTATGACAGAGTTTTTAGTGAATATGAGAAGCTACTTCATTCAGAGAGTTATGTGACAAACAGGTGGTCACTGCAGCTTTTTGGTGAACTGTTGTTAGACACAACTTCACGATCATGACAAAATCCATCGGCAAACCTGAGAACCTCAAGCTAATGGTGACCGTCCTTCAAGATGAGAGCCGAAAAATCCGGTTTAATGCCTTTCATGTGTTCAAGGTGTTTGTGGCCAACCCCAACAAGACACAGCCTATTCTAGACATTCTCCTCGTGAACCAGGCCAAACTCATTGAGTTCCTCAGCAAGTTTCAGAACGACAGGACGGAGGATGAGCAGTCAACCAAACAGATCAGGGATTTGAAGAGACCAGCTCAGCAAGAAGCCTAATTGCTAATAAACACCCGCAATATCCCTTCCAACTGCAGCACTTGCTGTTAGCTGCTCAGTATCAGACACTCTCGTCGATTCACGGGGAACGTCACTGCCGATCTGCTGCTTAGTGAACGGTTTTCACTTTACCTTTCTGTTTTTCAGGCTAGGTTGGAGAACGTAGCTGCTGCTGCCTACAGATTAGCGCACACATGGTCTTCCCCTTGATCTGTGTCATTCTCCTTCTGCTACAGGAATTCTGAACATGGCTGGGTTCACGAAGGCGTGAAAGTGGTCTAGGGAAAAGGTGTTGATGTCATCAGTTGATGTCATCAGCTGACACCGCTCATTGCCTCTCCTCTTTGCAGATCTCTGCAGTGTGGCACTGGTACGCCTGGCATCCCAGAGCCAGATCATCCACCGTCGCCAGAGGAACGTGGTGTGCACAGGGATTTTTTTGGAGATCAGAGGGGAACTGTATCCAGAGTGATCTTTGGGGATGATAAAGTTGACGTGCAAATAAATTGATACTGAAACTTAGCAGCTTCTCAAATGTGGAACGTCATAAGGTCATAAGAACACCACTCTGCTGGACATGGAGGAGACTTTCGAGAGACAGCGAGACAGATGGGTTGCTGCCTTCACTGTGATCTTGGTCCAGTGGGGAGACAGGAGCTAAGTCAGGAAATGGCTGAATAGAAATGGCATCGTGGCCTGTGCTGTGGGGACAGGAATAGCCTCCTCGCTGGCCTTCCTGTCTCCGGCTTGTCTTTGCTTGGGGACACCCCACACGGATGACGAGCACAGTCTTTCCCAGTACAAGTCTGTTTGTCCTTCCCCACTAAATCTTCCATGCCTGCCTTTGGCTGCACGGATGACTGGACTGCAGTATGGCTCAGAAGCAGGTTTTTCTCTCGCTGGCTTCTGCCGTCAGCCCGCTCTTCTGGGAACTCAGCCTGTGGCTGGTTTCCTGCACCCTTGTTGGGACACCTTCCACTCCTTTGTACCTTCCTCCTTTCCCAACCACCCTCTCAGCCCCTAAACCCTATGTTGACTTGAATTGCTTCACCCAGAGTTGCACACCCCAAGCTTCTGTTTAGACGTTCTTCCCGCTGTGTTGCGATGGCTTGTAGGGCTGCCTTGTTGTCGAATGGTACCCCCCCTCCACGTCTGGTAGGCCTGTCTGTCTTTCACCTCTCTATCTACAGACAAGTTGTCAAGCTTGGTCCCAGGAGTTATCAAGATGTAACACTTCCAGCTGGGTGGTGGTGGTGGCGGCGCACACACCTTTAATCCCAGCCCTTGGGAGTCAGAGGCAGGTGGATCTCTGTGAGTTTGAGACAAGCCTGGTCTACAGAGTGAGTTCCTAGGACAGCCAGAGCTACACAGATAAACCCTGTCTCAAAAAACCAAACACAACAACAACAGTAACAACAATAACAAAACCCCCACTACCAATGCAAAAACAACAAAACAAAACAAAACCAGTAATAATCCTTTCTGAGTACTGATTACGCTAGTCATTCTCTAGAGGCTTTACCACAGCCATAGGGTAGCACTATGATTAACACCCCTTTCACAGCTGAAGAAGGCCCCAAAGGGGTTAAGTAACTTGTTCAAAGGATTTCCCGGTCATGGTAAGTGGTAAACCACTCCCCCCACACACACCAAAGTTTTATTATGAAAATAGGAAGCTGAAAATAATAATTCACTCATCAGATAGCAATATGTCTTCATTATTCCACCTTAAAAAGGAACACATTTTTATTTAGATCTCTCTGTGTGTGCATACCACATGGTCAGGTGCCTTCAGAGGCCAGAAGGGGTCAGATTCCCTGCAGTTGGGGTTATGGGTGGCTGTGAACTGTCCACTGTGGGTGCTAGGAACTGACCTCAGGTCTCCTGTAAGAGCACCAAGTGCTCTCAACAGCTGAATTAGCTCTCCGGCCCTTAAGTATCCCCATGATCCTTTTTGTATGTGAGGAAAATTCCCCAATTAAAGGGTTTGTTTGTGCGCCTGTGTGTGTGTGTGTGTGTGTGTGTGTGTGTGTGTGTGTGTGTGTATGACTGTGTAGCCTCAGGCTGGTCTTGAACTCAAGGTAATCCTCCTGCTTTAGATTAATACTAGGATTACAGCTGTATGTCAAGATGATTGGCCTTTTCTTTTAAGGGGAAGAAAGA